TGGTCTAACGACTACGGCATGCACGACTATGAGTACACCCCCCCCACTCACTGCAAAGACTTTCAACACATCCCGTGCGATTGCTATGGAGTTGTCCCACAAGGGTAGCTTTCATTGGTTGTGTGAGTATTTTCTCGAATCCTGGAGCTCTGTCGGTATGCAGGAGGCCGTCCTGCAAGCCTGCACAGTACGACAATCTGCCGCCGGTGGTGATACACAAGTGGAGATGTGGAGTGGAACATTTCCTCCTCAGTTCTTCAACAAGTACACGTAGGACTGCAGCTTGCAGTAGACGAAAACGTTTCGACACACACACCTGCTTTTGTGCACGTTATGCAGGCGTTATCGCACACGCCAGCAAAATGCAGCAGCGCTGGCAGGACGAGAGCCGGAGCTAAGCTGGGTGCCACTGCCTCGCGATCCTCGATGTCGGCAGCAGCGGGAGGGGAGATTTTGGAGGGAGATACGGTGGTCGTCGTGGGTGCTTCCGGGGGTATCGGGCGTTTGGTCACTCAAAGGTGAAAACATTACAACCACACCAAGGCAGGCCACACCATGGTAGTTGCACCATGGTTTGTATTTATTCACCGTCCCTCTGGTATATTTACCACCCTTGTGTAAACCAACCATACCAGATACTATGGTATCCAGGCTATCTTTGTTACATGAAACACACTAAAAGCCCAGCCAGCCCGCTGCCTTCATCTTTGGTCTTGCCCCACATACGTCCGCTTGTTTTACCCTCGTCCCGAGCGCCGTACCCTTTGCCCCGTTCGAACCGTCGTGCTACAATGCACGGCAGCCTAGCATCCACCGGCAAGTACAAGGTGAAGGGGCTCGTGCGGAACCTCGAGAAGGCCAAGGAAGCTTTGCTATCGTCGGCCGGGGGAGGCCTTGAGATTGAGCTGGAGCAGGGAGACATCTTGGACGAAAGCAGCCTCGTCGCCGCAATGAAGGTAACGGACGGCGTTCCCGTAATACGCAAAGAGCGCCGCTTTGCGGCTGTGACACCACCCTCGTAAATATCATCACGATGTTTTTTCCGTCACGGAGTACAACGATATACCCTGGCGAGACGCACCTAACACGGTACAACGAACCATTTTGGGTAAGAATTTGAAGAGGCAGGCGACAAGCATTTCCCCGCGACTTGCGGACGCACTCGTTTTGCTGTTCAGGAACAACGTTTATTCGCCTGTGCTTGGGGGATTCTCAACTAGAAACCTCCTCCTCCCCCCTTCCATCGCTCAGCTTGTATGTGTGCAAGAGTGGAAGAGTACTTCTTGTTTGCTAAGAGTACCGGTGAAACCATGGTCGCTCCCCAGCTTCACAACTCCACAAATGCCCCCATTCATCGTCGTGCAGGCGTGTTTTTCTCTCTTCTTTCTGCTGACGGTCGAAGGAAAAGACAATCGACGCCACTTTCGACACCAGTACAGGAGCGAATTCTTGGATCAGTCATGATGATTCGCGCGCATGCTCGCGTGTTGTGCATCATGGTCATTCCCCCCTCTCCAAACGCAAGGATGATGACCAGGTCGCTGGTTCATTATTGTAAGACGTAGCCTGGGTTGGTGAAAACCCGGCATATCGCTCCGTCCGGGATGGTAGGGATGCGAGGTCAACGATGTAGCGACTACGGCATGCGTTTACGTGAGTACACCACCTTCACTTTCATACCATAGAAACACATGACAAGCTTGCTGGGTGGGTTGCTCTCATGGTGCGTGTTCTCGCGCGCAGGGGGCCGCGTGTGTGGTGGCGTGCACCGGGACGACCGCTTTCCCTTCCAAGCGGTGGAAGGGGGGCAACACTCCCGACGCCGTCGACAACCTGGCCGTGGGGAACATGCTGCGGGCGGCGGCAGGGTGAGAAGTGTTGGTGGATCAACAGAAAACGCTGGAAGTGCAGCGTGCGTTCGCTGGATTTTCACCGTGTAGGAACAGCGGCGATCGGTCCGTTGGCAACCTACTTTATGTTGGTCGCTATGGCATCCAACGATTTCAAGATATCAAAGCCACCAACTGAGCCTATGACCAATTCGTATGGCCTTGTTTTTTGGTTTCTTTATCTCCCTCGCCCCTACCGTTGCAACTGCCACTGTTTATTGTGGTCGTACTCGCCGACCTAAAGAGTCGCCATTTTGGTTGCGGACGCCCTTGTCGTTGTCGTCGTCGTCGTCACAATCTTCACATCCATGAGTGCTTAACCCGGTACTTCCTCCGCCGTCTGCCCGTGCGTTTCCTCCCGCAGCGGCGGGAGCTTGAAGCGGTTCGTGCTGCTTTCGTCGGTGGGGGTGACGAGAGCGGACAAGTTCCCGTTCGTGATTCTAAATGCCTTCGGGGTCCTAGACGCGAAGGCGAAAGGGGAGGCGGCCGTGAGAAAGTGAGAGGAGCGTATTGGGCGGGGTCTGATAGAACCTCGGTTTGTCTTTGCGGAGATCCGGACCACTCACCGTCTTGGTGGTAGTTTTTCAGCACGAATTGGTGCACCACTCTCGTGCGTCCTCCGAAAACAAAGTATACAGACAAGAAACACCTTGTAGCTTGCTGTGAGCTCACACGAACGTTGACTGCCGTTGGGGAATTTGGAAGTACCACTTTCCGGAGGAAAGTTGCTCACTCATCTTCGCGCTCAGACCCAAAACCTCTGGTGGTTCTTGTCTACATTTGCGATCAAGTTCCTGCTCTGTCTCTCTCTCTCCCTCTCTCTCTGTGTAACATCCTAGTTTTGCTGGCACACCTCGGAGACTGTGTAACATCCTAGTTTGCTGGCACACCTCGGAGACTGTGTAACATCCTAGTTTTGCTGACACACCTCGGAGACCGTGTAACATCCCAATTTCGGGTCGTGCTTTTTTCTTCACCCATGACAGTAGTGAAAGTTGACTGCTGTATGTTCATGACACGGGTGGCGAACGACACGCTAGAAAGTCAAGGAAGTTCTCTTACCATGCAATATGCTCGGCAGCGCACCAAGGGTTGCTTGTGAGTTGAGCCTCTCGAAGGGGCTGATTCATGGTTAATAGAGGGTCAATTGGTTTGGGTATAACCGACCGGTGCGTAACCCCCCCCCCCCAACCGCCCCTAATCAGAGCTGCCAAAGAGGGGGGCTTCGGCTACTCCATCGTACGCCCCGGGCAGATCAAGGGGGACCCCTTCTTGGCCTACTCCAACAGCGGGGCCGCCCTGTCCCCCGACGCCCCGGAGAAGGGGTCCGCGAAGCGAATGGTATCGTTGCGGCAGGGCGACTCGGAGGCTGGGGACGTCAACCCCAGCTCGGTGGCGGAGGTGTTCACGCAGGTGGGAATGATGAGAAACAACTCTTTATTGTGATAAGTTTGAGGAGGGGTGCACGTGCTTTTCGAATGATGGCGTTTCAGTTTCGAGTTGTTTATTATGCGGGGTACGCTAGCTCGGTAATCACTTGGTGTTGAGCACTGGAAAATTGATGAGGAGGTGCTGTGGAAGCATATCGAATGCGTTGCTCATTTTGTTTCAGGTGAGTGAAATGCTGCTTGGCAGGGGAGGTGGCTCCGCTGTTGAAACTTTGAACGAAGACGTTTCGTGCAAATGAGGGAAATATTTTGAAGCAGATCTCAATGCAATTATTGACAAGAGCCAAAAGATTAAAATTCCCACGCGGGAGAAATATCGGCGGGGGGGATCCAACCGAGAAGAAGCATTCTATGCGGCCCCGACTCTATGGGACGGCTTTGGAGAGGCTTGCGTGGGTTCCGAGAATGGGTGCAACAAGCAAACCAACCACACAAGTTGGAGCATGCAGGCAGGACCTGGTGTTGCATGCATGAGTTGTGCTCTGGTTGCCGGGAACCGACCAATTGGTTGCCTCAGATTGCGACGGGCAGCACGAAGGCACCAGGCACGTTTCGCCCCAAGTGGGTCGGGACCACCGGCGTTTCGACAAGATTTGCGTGCGAACACGCCCGGTTGATTTGCACAATAAAATATCCCACAAAGGCCTCCCCAGCATCTATTTTCCTCGCTCTTCTGTGGCCAATCTACATACATGGAAGTGCGCCCGCGGAATGCGTGCATGTGCAACATGCCCCGCCCCCGCCCGGATTCCCGAAAGAGCAAAAATAGTCGAATCTATAGGGCTTTCCCAGCCTGTTTTGAACCAACAGCACGCTTGTGTACCTTTTTTCTGTCCTTGTGGAACCGCCGTGTCTGTGCTATCATGTCACGCTCTGGCGGGGCGCAGACCGTGGGCCAGACCGGCGCAATAGGGAAGAGCTTCACCGTCATCAACTCGCTCGGAAATGTCCCGAGCCAAGGGACGTGGGACGAACTCTTCGCCAAGCTCTGATTGGACAGGTTGGTTCCGAGGCGGGGCACCGAGCGCTTCGGGTCGGTCACTATCTGCACAGCAGTGAGTGGCGGTCACCGCCTCCTCTCCAGCAGCGGGAAGGAGGGATGCTTAAGCCGGACAAACCTAGACGGCGTTCAGATCGAATCATGTGTGTGACCAATCCCGGGTGGTTGCATCCCAACAGAGCAGGAGGGATCGCACAGTAGCCAGTTGCTGCTGCGAGCGACAACGGTATGATGGCGAGGACGGTGGCGTGAGAACAAATCATCGACCAGTACACCTTGGCAAAAGGCGGTTGGACGGTGTCTGTGGCAAGCTCTCTGAACGCATGCGATGTTTTGTTAGCTCGTGCTGCTGCATGTCTGTCGTTCGTGACACCCACGGCCGGACTCTTATTAATCGATAAGTTGTCGGGTGGGAGCACGACTGGCTGCTTTGCGGGATGGTCCCTATTAGTCTGTTCGTCCAATGGTGAGATCGACTGGAGGGGTCGGGGGGAATTATTGGTTGGTTTGCGAGCTGGACTCGCACTGTGCCCAATTCTGATTGCTGCGGTTCTTGCTCAGACAACCTTTTTCCCAAATGAAACCGTAAGCAAGTGTGCTTGAGGCTGTGTGAGCAGCGTGGGCGGCTTGCTGATGGTGTATTCCCGACTAGCTTCCGGGTGCTGCGTTCTGGAAGCGTGTACGACAACTTACGCTTGGTCGTCGAACTCTGGCCTGCCAAAGGGATTTTACCGCCGGAATTCCGATTGGTAAACGGTTTTGGGCGGTGTCCGCGTGAGCCTGACGTGAAGTGTTTGACTTCGAACATTTAAGAACTCTGGTATCTTTTGGGAAGGATACTGTCCGTTCATTTTGAAGCAATTTAGAAGAGGTCGTATGTTGTTGCATGATGCCGATCGAGAAGCGGTAGACTACCAAACGGTGGCGAAACATACCTACTCAATCGCGGGCAACTTCTACAATCAGGTGTTTCGGGCGGATGTAACAGGCGCAGATGAAAATGTAACGAAACCACGAAAGAGGTTTGTTAAATGCGCTACTGGTTAGAAACACGTTATCGAGTCTGTTTCATCTCGCGCACAGCGGTCGTGCAAAGTCAGAGCCATCTTTGCGCGCAAGACTGGTTGGCACGGAAAGTGGACAACGTGGAACGTGCTTCGCCGCGCCGCTTGCCAAGGCCTTGGCTACTCCTCGTCCGCCTCCGCAGCACACCAAAGCACAGAAACAGAAGAATTTTCTCCGCTCGAAAGGTTCATAACTATTCTTGCCGGGCAAAGAAAACATTTTGAGAGTTACCCCCACGGGTGCATCCATTTTGCCTGTTTGTTGTCGCTGTCCTTGGACGAGCGAGACTCGTCCTTAGATCTGCCTGATGTGACATGTCGAACACATCTCAATGCATACAATACACTACCACCACCGCACATACAAGCCGGCCAGATACATGGGGAACACAACTGCACCTTCCACGAACGACAAGCTCGAGCATGTACGACACAATTGGACCACCACCGTTGATGTAAGCATTGCACCACCACCGTTGATGTTACAGGACAAATTACTTTTTTCCTGCTGTTGTCCCCTTCTGAAACTCCTGAAAGTAAGGGCACGAAAATCGAATCTGAAAGCAGAAATACGACTAGTAGAAACAACGTGAGGGTTCCGACCCCCCACTCACGACAATCGTAAATGGCACATCTACTCTACAGCAGCAGATGCGCCGCCGCCGAACCATGTTGACCTACCATGCATGAACCGCCCGCCAACAACAACGCGCCTTCAACTCAGCCAAAACACATAAGCCTAGCACCCTGGCTAGTAGTTATTACTGTGCTTGTCTCTACGCATCCTTTCAACCCACGACTCGTCTCTGGAAAATGGACGGTTCAAGAGAGACCAAAGAGACCAGATGAACCAAGGAATGAACAAAAAAAAAAGTTTTGGTTTAATATTCAAACAAAAAGAACCTCTTCTCCGCGCCTCTAATTCGACAACCAATTCGCGAAGCCCCCTTGTGGGCACAACCATAAAAAACAACGATTTCGAGTACCATCTGCAGTTCTCAAACATTTAGATGCTCTGGCCCGCCTACCGACGCTCTCTTTGTACATCGATGCGGAATGCCGATGGTCGGCTTCGCCAAAACAAACGTATCCCACGGCATGCGCATCTCACAGCGGTACATCACGAAAAACGGTTTTCTATTGATTCCCCCTTGAAAAGAAAGCTTTTCTCGAGCGAGCGAGCCCCCATGATCGGGTTCGTGCGAGGGATGCCAACGTCAGCAGTGGATGCTGTACAATGGCCATGAACGATAGCGACGAGCCCTCCGCTTTCGTCTACAACTTCATCGTATCAACCATGCCGATGGGCGGCCTCCCTCCACCCCCGACCTCGTGAATATGACGGTCGCGCCCCTCCTCATCTCTACACCGACTTGAGCCGAATGAGATGGGTAGATCCACCAGGCACGGTGGTGCCCGCGGATTGAAATTTGCTCTATTGACAGTGCACTCTTTGTACCTCTCCCCGGCTATCATCTCAGTCGACTTAGCGTTCTTTCTGATCCAGCTCCTCGAGAGCGAGACAACTCGCTGCCGAGAAAATCTGCGCGATGTTGACGAACTGCTTCAGCACACACGCCGGGAGGCACAGCCAGAAGCAGGACTGGCGTAGGAATGGGCGACGGTGGGGGGGGTTGGGGGGATTGTATATCTGTGATACGTCACGTGGTGGGTCGTATCTCGTTGTTACCCGTTCTGCCCCCTGTGCAGTGCACCCTCTCCCGTGCATTAGGTAAGGGCTAAGCTAACCGCAAACATGCGCTGCAGCAGGGCGGGGGCGCGGGTGGATGAGGCCAGAGTTTGTCACAGTGAGAGGTGACAGCCGCGTTTTCGGACTGGAACCATTCGCGATGGCTGAACAACAACTACTTGAGAGCAGTGCGGCGCAGCCAATAAAAATCACCAACAAGCACGAATGACCCGAATTCATTACCCTGACATTGCCCCTAGGGGGCGTGAAATTTGAAGACAGTGTTATGTAGGTGGGGCCCTCAATAACCGACTGCGTGGGGGACCCAGCTGATGATCACCCTCACCGTGCGCAACGGGGTGAAGGCACGGCTCTCTTCCGAGACGAAGTGCAGCAGGTACAGCAGCACGTAGAACAGCTCGGCCCCGATGCAGCAGAAGGCAAAGAACGGGAGGTTGTCGTAATACGTGCGGATCAAGATGTTCCTCCGCTTGAGGGTAGCCGTCGATTTGTGATGCTTTTCGACGACACTGAAGACCAACCAAAGGCAGGGAAGAGAACGTGGGAGCGGGGAAGGGGAGACGGCAGCACAGTGTAGTTTTAAACATTTTCTCGGTTCGGTTCTTCATCCTCGTGTGACCGGGCTCTGTGCATGATAGGTGCCCAACACGTCCTCCCTTTACGGCCGAGCGAAGTTGACTGAAGCCAAGGGTTGGCGCGGGGTCAACACGGGGAGTCGCCATCGAGAATGCCGGCAAAACTGTTTGAAACAGCAGTAAGTGCTACACTCCAAAGCACACACTCCTTTCCAGCTCAGAACTCTGAGGAATACGTGCGCAGCAACGTATCCATGGCCAGCAATTTCACCAACAAACGAAAAAATCAGGTAGAACACAAAATGACGGCACGTGAGGACCAGCACTCTTCACCAGGCGGAACATTCATCAACTAGGTACAGCAATGCAACTAGTGCGTATGATTCTGGTGGGAAGGTCTAGAGCAGCCTCCTCGCCTGTGAGTGTGCATCCAGTGGCTGAAGAGATCGATGAACATGAGCACGAGAAACGCGAAGGCGTGGCGGCGGTCGTATAGCCGGGACAGCACCAGGAGCAGCCCTGCCGTCGAGCAGCGGTCCGTCACCATGTCCAGCACCGCGCCGAACCGAGAGGCTGACGATGGCAACAAGGGCGTTTCGTGTTTGTGTATGCGTCCATTTTTGTCATCATCTGCTGCGATAGTCGGCTAACGAAGGAAAAGTCGTCAGTCGCTAAGAACGGAAAACGCTTTCGCAGGGCCATTTTTGTGCCATTGGGCATTTGTAGCTTGCGTCGTCGTCTTTTGAATATCGACCACGCATCCCTTTTGAGATGCACCACTGCTACAATAGTACTCCTGATAGGGGCATCGGGGTTTCCAATCTGCGGACACCGAGGCGGTGAATTGAAATTCGATTGACAACGACACGACAGGACCTTCGTATTGAGGTTGGACTTGCGTTCGGCTCCGGCGGCAAACGTTGGGCGGGGGGTGGGGAGCGAACTGCGCGCCAGATTGGGTGCTCGCGTGGTGTACGAGGCGTTTATTTGAGAAAGGCAGCTCGTTGCCTCGCCAACCCGTCAAGAGGATCCACACAAGAGACAAGGAAGGGGACGGGGGAACGTTGAATCAAATCGGATATTGCGCAGTTGCAGATACCATAGGGCACCCACTTCTACAAAGCCATGACGCACCTTGCTTGAACTTTCTTGCAACGTGACCGTCGACCACATCACCCGCAAACGCGACCAGGTAGAAGCATGAGCTAGCAAAACAATGAGAAAGCATCAACACCGCAATGTCAGACACAGCACCACAGAGGCAACAGGGTCAAGCGGCAAGAGGTGTGAATGCAGTCTGCGCCCGTCATAAGTGATCAATCACGACGGGTTTATGCCTCAATCGGCGTTGTCCAATGCATAGTGCAGATGTAGTCACACGTTGTACAAATCGCCAAGTTGTTCCGGGAGGAGACTATGGTCAACAGTCGCCCGATAGGGACCACCGGCTCTCGTTGTTTCTCCATGAGAACCAAAGCTTTCCGAGACACCAAGAACGCTGTGTAAATGCAAGAGGGGGCATCGTCCCATCGAAAACATGCCCGACAAATATGCATCCAGAGCCGGGGCCACGTTTCCGTGAGCTGTTTATTCTGCTTCGTTCTCACCTTGCCTTCCAGTTGGTCTCTGCAAGGTAGTAGCTCGCCAACACCAGCGCCACCCTCGCGTAGCCTGAATGAGAAGTCAGCGTGTGCATGTATGTTTTTTAACCACCATTGACCGCACTGACCGGCTATTTGTGTTTTGTTACTAGCGTCGACCGCGCTAGGCAGCTGGCCAATGAAAGGACGTCAGTCTCAGTGCGGTTGGAAACACGGAGTGCTTGTAAAGGCCATGATATGGGACCCTGTGATGGGGGGTCATCGGGGAGGCTAAGCTCAGTGTGTGAATGTGTGTGTTGCTTGAACAGTATCGATCGCGCTAACCGGCTGAGCGATGAGAATACGCCAGCCTTGTACCGGGGCTGAAACGCAAAAAAGAAAAGAGTGCGCGTTTATTTGACACACGCTCACTACCGCCTCTCATGATGTTCCGGAATTTCCCAACCCGACAAACTCGCTCGATTGCAGGACAAAGCGCGTGGAACACATGTTCTACCAACCTCCGTGTGATAGGTGGAACGCTCTCAAAAGTACGTAATAATATGCATAGCTGTAGACTAAAAGTCGAACGTGTAACATCTACGGAGAAACTGTACAAATACAGCCGTAAGCATGGGAACGAAACGAACGGAATATCTTGGGCGTAAGTGGTACATAATCGGACCTGCCGCAAGTGGCATGGATGAAAGTAGCCGTTATTCCCTGGGTGCTCAGACGTGGACCAAGGACACCAGCGCGTTGAAGACCGGCGTACGTGCACATATATACCAGCCCCCGCAAACAACAATGTTTGTTTTCTTGTAATAATGACAAGATACTTGCATGCTGTATCATCAATGACTGCTGTACGCTAAACCAACTGTTTGTAGAGGTGCGATTCTTGCCCAATCGACAAGGAGAGGAGCGCTTCTGCTGTTTCTTTTTCTGAGTGGCACTGGAGTGCTATCGCTCCGGATGGACACATCATGAAAGGATATGATCAGTCGACCGTTGCGCTGCTCAGGGCCTGTGGGTTTCTTGGGTTTCAGAAAGGTGCAGATGTACTGCTGTCGAAACTGGTTCAAATACTGACAGCAACTGAACGTAATCGCCCTTGTCCTGCAAGGTCCTCGTCAAGTGTCTCGGGTGATACGTCCGAACGAAGAGAGCGGTAAGGATTGGATGTTCTCCAGTAACGTGGCTGATGGAACAAGATATCTCCGGGAATCGACTGCGGGAGAGACCACAGGATAAGGTCGGGAGCGTGTATCACCAACGTGTCTCGAAGGCAGCATGCTGGCTTTATTTGAACTTGCTTGGAACAAGATATCTCAAGATTCACACCGGCTCTAAAAATGGAGAAATGGAAGTTCGACGTCCCGTATAACGTCCCGTGTGCTGGAGTGACCATACCTATGAGGTTAGGGTAGTAGAGCAAGACGCTCCTCACTCTCTTCTGCTCCTCTCTCTCCCTCATCTCGTCGAGTTCTAAGTTCCCTCCTGAGACGCGAAGTGCCCTCGATTGCTCGTGTGATACCGACCCAGCCAGTGCTGCTGGCACTGATGCTGCTACGCTTGATTTTGCTGCAGCGCGTCTGCCCCGGAAATATGACAGCAGTGGAGGTGTTTCTTGTCCTCCTTTTGTTGCTGTTCTCGATGATGATGCCCGTGCTGGTCTTGAATGTGCTGCGACCTCCGCCTGGATATGAGGGTTGCTTCTCGTCCGGCTGCCGCGGCGTGGCAATGCTTCATCGTGATGAGCCGTTGCCGCCACCGCTGCTACTATCCCATAAACCGAGAGAACCTGAAGGAATCGCATGGTAGTGTGCGGTTGTGTCAGGCGATAGAGAGAGAACAGCGGGTAGATACGAAGTAAGCAACAGCTCTGCAGGTAGACAGCAAGAACGCAACGAGCAAGCACCACTTGGCCTCGCGAGCTCATTTTAAAGAGGCTCCGTGATTGTTTGTGCCCCCCTCCTCGCACTTCGATCTTTGACCCCCCGCACCGCGGAGCGCAAGGCACAGCACAGCCCACTCAACACATCGCTCTCTCCCTCTCTGCCCAGCCCAGTAAATGAAGACAAGAGGACGGCGACCGACTCCGCAAGCCTCACGAAGCCAACGTGGTAAAGATGGGCAACTATGAACCCTAGAGCGTGCGGCGATCTATCAAGCTTGGCACTCCATTCACAACCGGCTTCTGTGTCGAGGAAATGGCTGGTGAGTGGTACAGGAAGAGGATAGCGCAAGCGCAAGCACAAGAACCAAGCGCCCACAAACTAGAGAGAATTCCGGGCCTGGTCTTGGATTGCTGCTCATATCTAATGCTCCTAACCTGCTTGCAGTGGCAAGGCTCTTGTGCATGCTCCCCAACATTCGCACCACTTGGTGTAAACGGGTGAATGGTTGTACGTTTGCGGAGCTTGCCGCATCACGCGAGCAGCCGAATGCAATGCGACTGCCCTCAGCAGTACATCTAGAACGTCGTGTCACATCCACAGCAGTACCAACGCACTGAATGTAAAGTCGCCGTCTGTGCATTATTGACTCAGCAAACCTACGCCTCCGTCTGTGTGCCTCTGCCTGTCTTGTTCGGACAAAAAGTAGGCAGGCTCGATTCCCTGTGCTGTACACCATTTTTGTTTCTTGCGGACGCTGCACATTTTCTGCGGCTATCGGCGGCAACACCTTGCTTGTTATCGACATGCGTTGTAACGGATGATACGTATCTTGTCCTACCGCCATATCCGGTGCTCCCGAGTATGAACATGCAAGGCCACCCTGCATCCCCGTACAGCAGCACTTCTTACCTGACGGACGACGCCTCACTCATGACGCAAAGAAGGTTGGATGTCCTGGGCCCGTGATGTTGTGCGTGGACGAACAAATTTATTTTCCTGGAGTGGTACAGAGCAGTCGACAGGAGTTGTAACAGCACTGTCCTCATGTAAGATAAAGCTACACCATTAGACTAATCAGCGCTGACTAGTGTAATGGTGGAACTTAATCTTACTAAAGGTATATGCTAGCACCCGGCAGGATCACTTGGGTTTTTAATGGCTTGGGACTGAGAGCAGGGATCTCCGGGGACGGACCCCTCGCCAGACGCTGATAGTTCTAGGTGCACTCTTTTCGCAAAGAGAAGTGATCCAGCCGGTATTTGAAGTCGTGCGGGTATCCTTTGTAAGATAAAGTTGGGCCGTGAGTGCGGCCTCGGGCAATCCACGCTGAACACGGGTACGTGAATAGTGTAGGGTTCTCCCCCATGACACGGCCATACTTTAGCGGAAGATGCAGCAGTACGTGATCCTACCTGGTGCTTCCCACCTACGCAGCCCGCCACATATTTCCCCACCCCGAGGATTGGCACGCATACATATGTCGCAACCCCCAGCACAACGGCCTCTATGTAGTCTAGTGAACGCCTTCGATAGGTATGCGTTTCCTGTTTTGGAGACGTGGCGGTTTGGAGTTTTGACGGTGTTGCGATGTGTTGTCCAACTTCACGGGATTGAGAACAATATCGCGATCGTCGGAGTTGCAATAGCACCAGTTTTGTTGTGTGATATCATCGTTGCCTGTTTAGTCTACCGTTCGTTGCTTCTTCCCCTGCGATGACGTGAGATGCTGTCCTGAGTCAGGAAACCATACAACACGGCTGTTTGAAACAGCATCCCCACGTAAACGCACCTCCTCTCTCTCCAACAAGACAACGGATTCCGATCTACTTCATGTTGAAGTGAGTACAGCAGCAGCAGGGCTGTCGCTGGTCAATCTTCCGCACTAGTAGTCCCAAGGACTAATTGCTCTGGCCCCGGGGGAGAAAGTGGTGGAACGGGTTTTGGGAATAGCTTCGGCTGGTCCCTTCTAATTCGCAACGACCCTTTCGCTCCCACTCCGGTCGGGCCGAGAGCCCAGACACCTTGGAAGAGTAACATTGGGTGCCGTGGTTCTTGGTCGTTCGGCGAGAGTTTTTCTCGCCTGACCATTCTTTTCTTTTCTTTTTTTCGTTTTCGAAAGATCTGATGAGGAAAGGCCCCACCCGCCATCGTCCTTAAGGCTGCTCATCACCCCAGAGAATTGAAGGTCTTTTTTCTCTTTTCGGAGAGATATATTGAACCCCGCAGGTTGACTACCGGCGCACCTTGTTTTTCGGAACTGGGTGTGCCTGTTGGCCGTTCTTTGGGACCCGGGTTACCACCCTTTCTCATTGAGAGCATACGAGTCATAACGATGGTACATGTATTTTGCTTTTGTTCAGTCGCGTTTCGAGGTGTTTCTTCACCATGCGAATGAAGTTTTTGTGAATCTGACCGCCGAGTAAAGCTGGCCTGATTTGATCCGCGCAAAATGTGTACAAGGTCACGCCAATCGATGCGCGGAGTTCCGTGTTCCGCTTTTCTTGGCTTGAGCAAAATTAGGTGGAGAGATACAATGTGCGTCTGATTGACGACCGATATGATGGAAATATGTGTTTCAGATGAGGTGTTGATCCCCTCTTCTTCGATGAAATGCTGGTGCCCTCCCTGATTTTGCAGGCGGACGAGACATGACGTCATGGAAGAGTTCAGCTCGCCCATGACTAAGTGGTGAAGATGGATGTCGGAGACCTTCTGAGCATTCACGCAGATCCCCACGTGCACACCAAGTTTTTTGTCGACGCAACAGCCGACGGCGGCGATTATGGTGGGTGGGCCAGTCACACATCGCAGGCATGCCTGAGCCCGAGAAAAGAACAAGCCGTGGGCCTGATGGCGTCGTCTCTGGTGAGATGCTCACACTACTGCTTTGGCGATGGCGCACCCGTATGTTCCCCTCATATGCCATGTAGGCATACAAAAGTAGAGCGATATCGTGTGAGATTGTCGCCAGTGAGCCGTTCAACAGCTTTCTCCAGAAGAAAAAGTGCGGTCCTTTCTTGGGATCGGAATTGAAGACGGCGGTTGTTTGAAACGGGAACGGGGTACTAGTTTTGCTGTCGAGTGTCCGTATACGATGTACAGACGCGTGTGCATCTCTCGAATGCATAATTTTCCAACTAATAGCAGAAAAACAGTGGTGCTATAGGGCTGTAGCTGGTCGATCCCAAGCCCAATATGTTCCCTCCAATATCCCCAAGGAATTCATTGCTCTGGCCCCGGGAGAGAGAGCGGACCGTGGAGCGATCTAGGAAGCCAGCCTCGGCTAGCTGCCTCAATCGCAACACCTATCCTCTCTCTCCCACTCCGGTCGGGCCGAGAGCCCAGACACCTTGGAAGAGTAACATTGGGTGACGTGGTTTTTGGTCGTTCGGCGAGAGTTTTTCTCGCCTGACCATACCGTTCCCTTCATTATTTCCTGGAAATATGATAAGGACGGGCCCGACCCGCCACCGTCCTTAAGGCTGCTCATCACCCCAGAGAATTGGGGTTCGCTTTGTTTCTTCGGAGATGTTTTGAACCCCGCAGGCTGACTACCGGCGCACTTGTTTTTCGGAACTGGGTTTGCCTGTTGGCCGTTCTTTGGGACCTGGGTTACCACCCTGTGTCACTGAGAGCATACGAGTCATAACGATGGCACAATTGTATTTGTCGATTTTCGCCCGTGAGAAATTTCTCAACGAGTTCATGGTTTTCCACCGGCGGTACTTTTTGTGTTTTGATGCGTGCAACGTACCATGATACAGTCACGTTCAGCGCGTCCATTTGTAGCTAGAGCCTGGCGCTTCTGAACGTGTGGAAATATGGCTGTAATTCCAGTATAAGATCAGCTGTGCTTCTTGGTGAGATTTTCACGAATTTCGTGACGGGACGGTGTCGTCATCCTGTTAGTACCCCTTCGTTGTAAACGATCTTCAACAGTTTTCTTGCAGGCCTCGGTGATGGTGTTTGAGATTTGAAGGTTGTCAAATTGTGAACCACGGGGTAGTTGCGTTGTGTCGGCGTCAGATGTGAAGGCTCTCTTGGTTGGCAATCGAGGTCATTCCACAAAATTTTTGCCTGGCCTTTGGTCAGCATGAATTCGGTGCCCTTTTTCGCCTATGGAGCGCCGCGGCTGTGGTTGGACGGCCTTGTCGCTCTCCCAACGTCTTTGTTCATGCAGCGATATTCCCCTGGGGAGAAGTGCTTTTCCTTTCGCCCCGTTGGAAGTGACGGAATGCAGGCGGCACTGGCGCAGGAAATCCTTTACAAGACACGCAAACGCTATTTTCTGCATGAATTGTAGCCGCAGATCTTTTGAAAAATGTATAGCCCTTGCAATCAATCTGTTCTCAATGGATGGGTGTCGATTTTTCCGCCGCAAATCTTGTCTTTGACCACTTTCCGGGCAGAGGCATCCCGCCTAGAACTTGGTATTGAATTCCTGCCGTGTCGCCCTCAATATATATATATATATATATATAGATGGTGTGTGCCGACACCTAGGCCATGTCCGATTTTCTTTCCACAGTCAGCTGCCGAGCACATTTGCTCATTGTTCTCGGTGGATCATGAGGTCGGGGTGGGGTGTTTGTGAAAAGATCTAAGGCCCATTAACAGGAGACTGTCCACGGGTTCCCTGGTAGTCACAAGACCCCGTACTAGAATCATTCGGTTTTCCAAGCTTCATGCCTCCGCGTCTCTGATCCACCCTTTCCCTCCCGGCGGACGTGCTTCCCCGCAGGCCCAACCTCAAACTTGACATCCGCAGTGGGCGTTCTCCGGGTTAGCCACACCCAATGCTGGCTCACATTCACTACGGCCCTGGCAGTATCCGTTGGCCCTGTGCATCACCCGGGGCTCGACCCCACAACACGCCTGGAACTCATTTGACCCCGCTCCGTGCAGCATTCGACGAATTCACGCACTACCCTGGGCTCGAGTCCCGAAGGGTGCTGCATGAAATCACTCGATATTGCCAGGACTG